AGATTACAGGGAGGGAAGGGGGAGAAGAAGAGAAATTACAGGGGGGTGAGAAGAAGAGATTACAGGGACGGAGGGAGAAGAAGAGGAGAACACAGGGAGGGGGGAATAAGAGGAGAACACGGGGGGAGAAGAAGAGGAGAACACGGGGGGTGGGAGATGAGAACGTAGGGGAGGGAGAGACCATTAAAGGAGGGAGGTGCCGGTGGAGAGACCGCTAAGGGAGGGGGGTGGAGGATAGACCACTAGGGGAGGGTGGGGGGAGAGGAGAGACCACTAATGAAAAGTCGGGGAGAAAAGGAGACCACTAAGGGAGGTGGGGGGAGAGGAGAGACCACTAAGGGGCAGGGGAGATCTTTAAGGAATGGAAGGGAGAGCTCTATAGGACAGGGGGCAGGACAGGGAGCTCTTTCACACCACACGCACACACACACACAATGCATCCCTATACACACAGAAACACAACATGCTTCCCTTACACAGAGAGAAACACACAATGCAACCCTTACACATAAAGACAATGCATCCTTTGCACATATACACACTATGCATCCCTTACACACACATGCAAACACACACAGAAACACAATGTATCTCTTACACACACTCAATGCACCCCTTACAGACACACACACTGCATCCCTTACATACACAGAAACACACTTTGCATCCCTTATGCATACAAACACAGATTCACACAATGCATCCCTTACACACAACAAGAAACACACAATACATCCCTTACACAAACACTCACTGCTTTCTATCCCTTACACAAAAACACACTGCTTCCACTACACACAAACACACTGCATCACCTACACAAACTGGTATCCACTGGTAACACTACATTCCATAAGCACACACATTAGATCCTCTACAGTAACAAATAACACATCCCCTACACACTCTACTCCCTGTGAGCGAACTCATGGGTGGAACATGTAGGTGGACGTATGGGTGGGCTTTATGGGCATACTCACCGTCAGGCCCTGGGGCCCAGACCTTGAGCTATGTAAGAGGCCCCAAAAAATGGAGCTGCTTCCCGTTCTCCCAGAACATTGAATTTTGTGACCACAGTTACAAACAGCCTCCAGAGATCCTGTTCTACACCAGACCAGTGGAGCCAGACTGCAGCCAGAGCCCATCACCATCCTCATCTGATTGTAAGTAGGCAATCTAGTATATTATTAGTGACACTAATCTCTAATTTACCTCACAATAAATGGACACTATAGTCCCCAGAACCACTGCAGCTTAATAAAGTTGTTCTGGTGTATATAGTTTGTCCCTGCAGGCTTTGTAATGTAAACATACACTGTGTGCAGCACTGGCACTAGTTCATATGGCAGATCATATGGGTGGGCATTGCGATGTCCCGGAGGGGGAGGGGGGCGGCAAATCTTTCTTTTGCCTAGGGTGGCAAAAATCCTTGCACCGGCCCTGTGTATACGATACCAGTAGAGAGCACTCAGGAGTTATAACGGACCGTTTTGCACACAAGGGGTTAAAACCGTTTAGGCGATCGTCCCCTTTCAGAGATGCAGGCACAGCTACTGTAGAACACCAAACTCCCGAACCGCAAATAAGGGAATGCTCCAATCTCCCGAACTGCATACAATATAACACTCCAAACTCACGAACTGGAACAAATAGCTGCTAGCAGACGAATAGGAAAAGCATCCAAGCGGCTTACACTCCTAGCAATCAGTCTCTATCAGCATATAGTAAATCCCCCCGAAGACGAGACAAGGCTTCTTGTTGAGGGTCAAGCAGTGGTCTGTTTAATGAGGGCTACCTGCCCTGTATTTATGCAGGTCTCCCACCTGGTGGACACTCCCCTAGGGGACCAAATGGAAGACTGTGACAAAAGACAGACAAGTATCAATTTAGGACACACAGACACATTATATTCCCACAATGCATCCTGGCTTCCTCCTCTCTGCCCTGGAGATAATTGATAAGTAATTCAATTATCTCCCAGGACAAAGGCAAATCGCCACTATGCAGGTGGGGATACTAAAACAAGAATTATTATTAAAATACACCATATAGGACATGTTACATTAAAACTATACATTTAACATATCCCCAGATAGCTCAGGTCTGAGCGCACATTGTTAAGCGAATGGCGCTCAGAACACACGAATACAGTTCAATCGCCATGGAGCCAAAGTCTTTACAAAGTCAGTTCTCATACGAATGAGCTCCATGGGATTCCTATCTGGGGTATAATACAGTCAGGTAAAACTACCGAACAAGAAGGGAGGTCGGCGGCTTCAGCGGTGTTCGCCCCAGACTGTGTCCGTTTTTAGTTCCACGAGTTAGATGTCGAACACCGCTGTGGGTTCGCGTGTTTAAAATGGCCACGACCTCTTGTTCGTTATACGAATGGCGGCCACCCAGTATTCGTCAATTAAGCTGCGGTTGACCGCAGCTTCTGGGAGGCTAATTGCTGGCACACTCCAGCTCCCAGGTGGTCTAGTCATTCGTGCGGTTGTTCGGTAGATTGAATCGACCGAACACCGGGTAGAAAAGCACGAATAAGTATTTTCTGCAGGGGAAACAAAGTCTTTTAACATGGGGCCATAATCCAAAGGCAGCAGGCGAGCAACCAGGCTTCTCCAATGCAATGTGGTGAGATTGCTCTCGTCACATCTCTCCCCTTTTCCAAACAGACTAACAGGGTATCTGACCTCCTGCCGGTCAGCGCCCTTGTTAGTCCAGCAGCCCACCCACAAAACACAATCAACAGCACAGCCCACCCACAATAAATGGTTACTACACCTGGGTAGAGGAGAAGCTTGTCCATGTCCAGGTGCCTCACCACGGCTGTGCTGGGTATGGGTACACTGACTTGGTGGGTTGCTGAGTGGGCAGAGACCAGCGGTACTCTGCCCTGGTGCCAGCGCTACTGGGTCGGTAGCCTGGTTGAAGCCTGGTTGTTGGAGGGGGAGACCGACTGTCTCCCCTTTAGACACACAGCCCTGCTGCTGGAGACCGACTGTCTCCCCTTTAGACACACAGCCCTGCTGCTGGAGACCGACTGTCTCCCCTTTACACACACAGCCCTGCTGCTGGGGAGCAGAACCGACCGTCCCTACCCCCTGTGCTGTACGTGCAGAGACCACAGTCCCATCTGCACAGTTGTGGGGCTTACTGTCTCCCCCTGGTTCATTAAGTTGCCGCTGGGGAGAGGGGGTAACAAGCTCCTCTCCCATACATACTTCCAGCCACGGGGGAGGGAGACCGACTGTCTCCGCTCCCAATACAGAGTCCTGCTGCTGGGGAAAGGAGACTGGGCTCTCTATTCCCAATAAATTATCCTGTCGCTGGGGAATGGAGACTGGGCTCCCAATTCCCAAAAAATCATACTGCCGCTGGGGATCTGAGCCGACCGCCCAGCATCCCTGTAGCTCACCCTGCCACTGGGGAGGGAGGGCGCTGCTCTCCTCTCCCTGCAAGGTACACTGCCGCTTGGGGACAGGACCACTTGTCTCTGCCCCCTGTAACTCAGCCTGCCGCTGGGGAATGGAGACTGGGCTCCCAATTCCCTGCATATCACTCTGCCGCTGGGGAACAGAGACTGGGCTCCCAATTCCCTGCAGTACCTGTCGCTGGAGTTCCTCCCAACGTGCCAGCTGACCTTCTCTTTCTGCCCGGTCTTGCAGATTCTTGAACACCTGGTCCCTCATGGACTGCACGTATTTCTCAGCTAGATTGGGTCCATAGAACTTCAGCCGCAATTCCATCATATTATCGAACTCTCTCCTAGAGTAGCTGTACTCCACTGCTGGTTCCATCCTGGTGCTGTCAGGGTCGCTTTACTGGGACATGCGTTGCCCTCAAATTGTAAAAGCCACGGAATGGTGTCCCCTGTAGCTGTCCTTTTGACTGTAGGAACGATCCCGCCGCTTGCCACCAATTGTAACGGACCGTTTTGCACACAAGGGGTTAAAACGTTTAGGCAATCGTCCCCTTTCAGAGATGCAGGCACAGCTACTGTAGAACACCAAACTCCCGAACCGCAAACAAGGGAATGCTCCAATCTCCTGAACTGCATACAATATAACACTCCAAACTCATGAACTGGAACCATACGAATAGCTGCTAGCAGACGAATAGGAAAAGCATCCAAGCGGCTTACACTCCTAGCAATCAGTCTCTATCAGCATACAGTAAATCCCCCCGAAGACGAGACAAGGCTCCGTGTTGAGAGTCAAGCAGTGGTCTGTTTAATGAGGGCTACCTGCCCTGTATTTATGCAGGTCTCCCACCTGGTGGACACTCCCCTAGGGGACCAAATGGGAGACTGTGACAAAAGACAGACAAGTATCAATTTAGGACACACAGACACATTGTATTCCCACAATGCATCCTGGCTTCCTCCCCTCTGCCCTGGAGATAATTGAGAAGTAATTCAATTATCTCCCAGGACAAAGGCAAATCGCCATTATGCACGTGGGGATACTAAAACAAGAATTATTATTAAAATACACCATGTTACATTAAAACTATACATTTAACATATCCCCAGATAGCTCAGGTCTGAGCGCACATTGTTAAGCGAATGGCGCTCAGAACACACGAATACAGTTCAATCGCCATGGAGCCAAAGTCTTTACAAAGTCAGTTCTCATACGAATGAGCTCAATGGGATTCCTATCTGGGGTATAATACAGTCAGGTAAAACTACCGAACACCGGGCCATTCGTGCACTCCCGTCGAACAAGAAGGGAGGTCGGCAGCTTCAGCGGTGTTCGCGGCAAACTGTGTCCGTTTTTAGTTCCCACGAGTTAGGCGTCGAACACCGCTGTGCGTTCGCGTGTTTAAAATGGCCACGACCTCGTGTTCGTTATACAAATGGCGGCCACCCAGTATTCGTCAATTAAGCTGCGGTTAACAGCAGCTTCTGGGAGGCTAATTGCCGGCACACTCCAGCTCCCAGGTGGTCTAGTCATTCGTGCGGTTGTTCGGTAGATTGAATCTACCGAACACCGGGCAGAAAAGCATGAATAAGTCTTTTCTGCAGGGGAAACAAAGTCTTTTAACATGGGCCATAATCCAAAGGCAGCAGGCGAGCAACCAGGCTTCTCCAATGCAATGTGGCGAGATTGCTCTCGTCACAGGAGTCTTTCAAGGTAAACTTCATCTGTTGCTTTATTGAGCAATTACAAATTCACACAACATTCCAGTCAACGTTTCAGTCTGTAAAATACTTTTTTCAAGGTCTTGAAAAAAGTCTTTTACAGACTGAAATGTCGACTGAAAGACTCCTTGAAAGACTCCTGAATGTTCTCTACCTGTATCGTATATATATATATATATATATATGAAAATTTATTCATACTTACCGTAATTTTCCTTTCCTAGTCATAGGCCATGGCAGCACAACAATGGGTTAGCTCCTCCCTATCCCTAATTAGACAGGAACAGAATTAAAATAGAGGTATAAATACCCCCTCCCACCACCACTCCCTCAGTCTTGTTAACAGCAATATCCCAGGGCGGGATCTTTGTGCTGCCATGGCCTACGACCAGGAAAGGAAAATTACGGTAAGTATAAATAGATTTTCATCTTTCCTGGCCATATCCATGGCAGCACAACAATGGGTAATACCCCAGCAATAACCAAGGGAGGGAATAAAGAAAAACTCAGACTCAGTAATTCAGAGATACCAGTGTATTAGAAAACAACACGTGAAATTGTAGACAAATCAACTAAGATGAGCTGACTGCGTACAGAACAGTTTTGCTGAAGAGGTCTAACTGGCTGGCTTTTACGTCAATCTGGTAATGTTTTATAAATGTGGTCGGAGAGGACCAAGTGGCTGCTCTGCAGATGAGTTCTGGTGATACATTAGCTGCTGCTGCCCAAGATGAGGAAAGGGACCTCGTAGAGTGAGCTTTGAGTCCTTCTGGAATTTTCACATTTGATACCTTGTAAGCCTGTATGATTGCGGCTACTATCCATCTACTGATGGCTATTTTAGATGCTTGAAGCCCGGAACAGTCCTCAAAATAACTCTGTCCTTGCGGAATACTGTAAAAGGCTCTTTGGCCGATAAGGCATGGAGCTCAGACACCCTTCTGCCTGAAGCTAAGGCCCCTAACAGAACCGTCTTTATGGTGAGAAGGTGAGGAGAGATGGATTCTAGAGGTTCAAAAGGAGGACCGCTCAGTGCTTTTAATACCAGTGGTAGATCCTATGGTGGAACAAAAGGTTTGATAGGAGGCTTTATCTTTAATACTGCTGCCATAAATCTGGTCACATCTGTGTTTAAGGCCCATCTTTGATCTGTAAGGGCTGAAAGAGCTGAAATATGTACTTTCAGGGTATTGTAACTTAACCCCTTGTCGAGACCTAGTTGCAGAAATTCCAGGATAACTTTAGTAGTGATCGTCTGAATGTTTATTTGATTAGACGTTGCCCAGGAGGAAACGACATCCCAGATTCTGTAGTAAGTGGTAGACGTAGAGCGTCTCCTTGCTTGCTGCAGAGTCTCTATTACTGCATGAGAAAAACCATTACCTTTTAACCCTTCCCTTTCAATTTCCATGCCATCAGATTGAGGGATGCTGGGTCTGGGTGGAGAACAGGACCTTGATGTAGAAGCGAAGGAATCTTTGGAAGCTGCGAAGGGTCTGCATTGCAAAGACTCAATAGAAGGGGAAACCATGGTCTGCGAGGCCAAAAGGGAGCTATGAGAATGATGGATACCGTCTCTTGTCTCAACCGTCTCAGAAGTGGAAAGATGAGGGGAGTAGGAGGTAATGCATAACCCAGGTGGAATTGCCAATCGCTTGATAAAGCATCTCTTCCTGTGGCCAGAGGATCAATGTTCTTTGAGAAGAAGTTTGTTACTTTCCTGTTTTTGTTTGTTGCCATTAGGTCTATTTGTGGCATTCCCCATATTCGTATAATTTTCTCGAATATTTTGTTTGACAGACTCCATTCTCCTGGGTCTAATTCCACTCTGCTCAGGAATTCTGCTATGGAATTCTGGATTCCAGGAAGATGTACTGCTGATATGCCTGCTAGATGTTTCTGTGTAAAGGCCATCAGAGGCTTCATAATTGACATCATCTTCAGACTCCTCGTTCCTCCTTGATGATTTATGTAGGCGACTACCGCGGCATGTCTGTTCTGATTTTGACTCACTTGAAGCATATAAGGGGGAGAAAATATTTCAGAGCTCTTAGTACTGCCATCAGTTCTAATAGGTTGGAGGGAGTCTCTGTTGCTGGAAAAAAGCCATTTCCCTTGTATGAATTGGTCTTGCAGGTTAGCTCCCCATCACCATTGGCTCACGTCCGTGGTTACAACAGTCCATGTGATGTTCCCCAAGGGGAATCCTCTGAACTTCTTTTGTAACCACCACATCAGTGATTGATGGACCTGAGGTGGAATCTTGATGGGCTGTCGTGGATTTCCTGTTCTGAACTGGAGGATGAAGTTCTTCTGGAATTTCCTCATCCTCCATTGGTCCCATCTTGTTAGCCCTATCGTGGAGGACATTGAGCCTAGAAGACTCATGCATTTCTCTGCTGAGGTCACATTGAATGCTAACATGTCTTTGACTTTCTTTATTAATTTTGTACCTCTTTCTGGAGACAGTTGCACTGTGCCTGCAAGTGTGTTGAATATGGCTCCCAAATATTTCATATTCTGAGCTGGTTGTAATTGACTCTTTTTCTCGTTTATCTTCCATCCATGGAGACATAGGAAACACATACAGATTTTGCCATGGGTCTGAAGGGTATATTTGTCCTCTGCCAAAGTAAGGATGTCGTCCAGGTAATGGTAGATGGCTATGCCCTTTTTTCTGAGTTCTGCAATTAAGACAACTAAAACTTTGGAGACTGTTCTTGGAGCTGTGCTGAGACCGAATGGCAGTGCCTGGAATTGAAAATGCCCTTTTTCCACTGCAAAGCGAAGGAACTTCTGATGTTCTACTGCAACATGGATATGGAAATAAGCGTCTGCCAAGTCTATAGAAATCACCCATTGGTGTGGAAAAACGGTCTTTATGATGGATTGAATTGACTCCATTTTGAACTTTCGGATGTGTAGGAACTGATTTAACCTTCTTAAGTCTAGGATAGGCCTCTATCCACCTGAAGCCTTTCTGATGAGGAACAGATGTGAATAAAAACCTCGACCCTGTAGACTCCGAGGAACCTGAATGATGACCCTTTCTTCCTGGAGTGTAGAGACAAATTCCTTCAAGGCTTGTCTTTTTTCTACTTCTCCTGGCCATTTGGTTGAGTGAGCTGGAGGGGGTCTGGAGAACTCTAAACAATATCCTCTTCTTATGATAGCCAACACCCATCTGTCTGTGGTGGATTGTTCCCATGCTTCTTGGAAAAGTAACAGACGTGCTCCCACTCTTACTGACTGGGGGGGAACCCGTCATATTCTTGTGGAATGAGGCGCCTCTTGATTTTGCACCTCTTTTAGATGACTGACCTCCTCTCCATGGCTGGGATCTTTCATGCTCTCTTCCTGGCTTATAAGATCTTGAATCTCGAAAGGAATAGTAGTCTGGATATCTTTTGGACCAAAAGGATCCTCCTGGCTTACGATCTTGTGGGAGAAAGGCTCTTTTGCCTTCGGCTGCTCTCTTGATACATTCATCCAGATTTCTCCCAAACAACATATCTCCATGGAATGGTAAGGGACATAAACTGGCTTTAGAAGAAGCATCCGCTGCCCAGGATCATAACCATAAAGCTCTTCTGGCTGAGACGGAGAGAGCCATATTTCTGGCTAAGGCCTTAACCAGGTCCACAGAAGCGTCAGAAGTAAAGTCTACTGCTAGCTTTATGTCTCTGAGGCTTTCTGGAAGACTGGATCTGCTTGTGCCTTTGAATGTCCTCTTCTAGATTTTCCATCCAAATTCTTAAGGCTCTGGAAACTGAGGTAAGAGCTACTGCTGGATGGAGGCCTGTGCCTGCTGCCACATAAGCCTTAGCGAGGTGTAGATCCATCTTTTTATCCATGGGATCTATGAATG